ATTCAGATTTTCAACACCAATTTTAAGTCAGTTCTTCTATATGTGTAAGAAACTTGGCCCACACATCATGAAAAGCATTTCCAACAAACCGTTGTGGACGTTTATAAATAGTAGTCTTCTCTGGCTCCATACCGAAGATGAAATGACCTGTTGGAAGGAATCGGCAGCAAGAAACTCCGGTAAAGAACCAATCAGGAACCAACTGCTCAACGATGTCCCAGAGAAGAAGAGGGTGGATAGACACAGGTTGAAAAGACCACTGGCCAAAATCACGCGTCAGGCCGTCGTGTGGAACTCGAATGAGGAACGACGAGTTGGGTATAATTTCGAGGGTGACATGGAGAAGATCATTGCGGAAGGAGATGAAAGCTTATAGTCAGTCGTGGGACCAGCTTAGGAGGACTGCAGAGAACGAGAAAAAATGGAGATGTTTTGTTGAAGCCCCATGTTTCACTTGGATTCCAAAGGAATGACAGTAATATAATCAATATTGTAATGTAGTAATATTACTAATATTCAATTCGCAGAAATATGAATCAGTTTTGAAAGTGTAATTGCACTGCATGTCTTAAATGTTGGAAATTATTGTATACATCTTTTGAGTACGATGATATGCAATTAATGCGATCAGCGTTCTACGTGGCTGAATCAATCGAATTATCTTTGAAAGCTAAATAAAGAATAATGACAGTCTAATATGACTTGGCAACTATTATTATTATTGTTCGCTTGGGTTCCTAGTGGAACATAGGGCTTTAACTGCATGTCTCCACTAGCTTCTGTCTTCTGATGTACTTTTCACCTGCATCCATGTCAGTCCATACTGTTTCAACTCCTCTTCACACCATCTCCTCCATGTCACCCTTGCACCAACGACCCACTCGCCGCTTCCTTTTCGGGTTCCACTCGAAGAACGGCCTGACGCGCGCGATGTCACCTAGCGGCCTCCTCAGCGAGTGTCCAATCCATCTTCACTTTCTCTTACATATTTTTTGGCGATTGGCTCTTGTTTTGTTTGTTCCCATAGTTTCTTGTTGGTGATTCTTTCCCGCCATCTGATCATCAGTATAGAGCAAAGACAGTTGTTGATAAAGGTCTGAAACCTGTTGGAAAATTTTCTTTGTGAATTGGCAACTGAGAAGCTAAAATTTTGTCATTTTACTAACTTAATTTGTAGAAATAACCACTCTTATCTTAACCCAATCATTTATTTAACACTTGAAATTACATTTCAAAATGAACGGCAAGTGTCTTGCTTATTAAATGGTATTTCTTTTTCAGGTCAGCGTCAATAACCTCTTCACAAAGGGAAAATTTGTAAGTGCTTTTCATAGATAATTTATTTCTACTACTTTCAATTTATCATAGTGAATACATTGATTTTTCTCAAAACTTTTCATTTAAAATTTACGAATAAATGTTGATTTATTGTCCACTTGAGTTATATATATATATATATATATATATATATATATATATATATATATAAACAATAGATTTGCTTACTATAACATGAGATAATTATACACTTCAATGAATAAAGACAAAATTTGTCCTTCACACTACCAAATCATTCTCATTATCATAATTCACTCGAAAACACATACACAAAACTACGGGTGAAGTTTCCTTTTCACCACTTGATGCATATATATATATATGCATATATTTATATTTCTAAAGAGAGACTGAATTCTGAGATAACACGATTACTGTTTCTTGTCTAATTCATTTATAAAAAGATAGGGGGATTTCGAAACGACTGAAAATTGTCATTTTATCGCATAAAAATTATACTTTTGCAAGGCTGAGATGAAAATTGTAAAAAGTGTAAAATATGTTTCATGATATTTGAATCTATCGAAAAACAGGTTTTGAAGAAAGCGGTGTAATTTTAAATTGATCGGGAAATAGTATTAGTCTCAATTGAACATTGATTATTTGGCGCTTGATTTCCACTTTATATATTCAGTGGTTGGTTAGCCATTTTTTAACCAACACTTGTCTGATTATATATATATATATATATTATATCTGACAAATGAGCAGTAAAAGTGAAATTGTTAATATCAAATGTATGTAAGGATCAAATCTCAGAAAACTTATTTCTTTAACATGTTTTGGTGTACTTTTTTATTTATTCCTTCAACTTCCCAGTGGAACATAGGACTTCAAGCTAGATTTTAAAGTATTTGTTTGTAGGACAAGTACTCGCCAAAGACATTGGCTAGCGGTTGCGCTATATTGTGAATCGAAAGAAGCTAGAATTCATGGACTGGCCACTGGATCGGGTCTCCGTGGCTAACTGGTCTACGAGCTCTCCTTGTAACCAGAATGTCCTTGGGTCGAACTGTGGTGGTGGGTGTGTGCTGTGAAGAGTCTCAAACTAAGCTGTCGAAATAGCTGGCTATCCAGTACTCCCAGGTTTTGCAGTGGTTCTCTACCCAATGTCAGCTCATGATGAAATCCTACAATTAGACTGTTGTTGAATATTAGGCAGTGACTATTTTTTGACTTTGTGACAATCTCTGATGTCTCAACATAGAATAATTTTTATTTGATATAAAATACACAATGGTATTGTATTATTTACTGATGACATTTCAAGTATAATATTTACTGCTCATAATCGTATTGTCTTGATTCGATTATGAACAAAACATTATGTTCTAAACATCATCAGTAAATAACACTGTCACTGTGTGTTTTTATATTACACAAAGCTATTCTATGATGAAATGATACTCTCTACCACAGTGTTCGAATACTATTCTTGCAATTCTTGATGTCCTTTCAATCTGTTACAGTGATACGAAGATATAAAGTAAATCATATTGATAATGACTATCACATTCCAACTGACATAACAATTCACTTTCAGTCATCCTCAGAAGACATAATTGATTTCAACAAAAAAAGAAATTTTGTGATCAATTTGTTTATTAAGAAATGAGCATCAACTAACAGTGATGATTAAACATGATGACTAATAAGAAACTTAACCGAGTGAACTGTCCGAATTTTAGTTTGTTTTGTTTAAGTCAAAACGATTTAATTCATTTAGGTGGAGATCAGCAGCACTCAGCATGAAAAATAATATCCGGATTTTCAACTGCAGTGTGAAGTCAGTGCTACTTACTATACAGATCACGGACTTGCCGCCGAGTCACGAAGAGCACTTCGAACAAACTACAGGACTTCTCAGCAGAAGTCTTCGCTCAATACTACTCAACATCAGATGGTAGGCCAGGAAAGATCAGAAACAGGAAGGAATGTCTACCAATAAGTGAACCAACCCAGCAGGAATCAGTTGTGTGACAAATATGCAGGGGTAAATGGAGGTGGATTCTCCATACTCTGAGAAAACCATAAATTGACATCACACGCCATGATATCATTTGAGTAAAAGCCGAAAGTTGGTCGTTAGTGCGATGGTGACATGGAGGAGGAGATCATGCGAAGAGGTTATGATAGCATGTGGACAGATGTGGAGCTAGGTGAAAATATTAGCGGAGGACCGAACTCAATGGAGACGTGTGGTTGAGGTTCTATGTTCCTCTAGCAACTAAAAGAGGAAATAATAATAAGTCCCAACTAACGATAACTAAAGCCTATATTAGTCAAGATAAACGGACTTTTTCACTGTTACTTATGGTGAGAAGTTTAATCTAAAGAAACTCATAGTAAATTGTTTAATTTTAAGAGTGATTGAGTCGAATTTACTCACCTGCGCCTCTTTATTCATATAAATATATATATAAATATTGGCCTTTCATTGTGTTTTTGTCTTTATTTTTGATATGATGTAAAACATTCATAATTTTCTCCTCTAATTTATTCCCCTTTTTTCCACATTCCAACTGATTAATAACTATTACGAGAGTAAATTTATTATAATATTAGACTTTCTTCCATAACTCGAAATCGTTTATTTGACGTTGACTGGTGGAAATGAAATACTGGTTGCTAACTACTGCCTACTGGAGACTACTTAGCTGGATTTACTCACTATCCTGTGAGCGACGCAGCCCAATTTTCAAGATCATTCGGGTCATTTCAGTCCCAAAGTGTTAATGAGGAATGACAAGTATGCGCACTTAATTTCTCTTCACAAAGTCGGTCATAACCTTCTATTTTAGGCATGTATATATATATATAATAATATATATCTTACTTTTTGACTTAAAACAGTGAAAGTTATTTTACTAGGTGACTGATAAATCACATCGACGATGTAAGAAAATCACACGGTCACATTTGATTAAAGAGATAATATGCTGATAAGACACTGGAAATTCCATCTTTTTATTTAGGACCCCCTTTCCTATATACGGATTTATTCCATCATTATGGTCAGGCCTTTACGTAATCATCTTGAAATGATAAGGAGATAACATTTTCATCCTATAATAACTAGCGCCTGAAAGAGACATCTGGATATTGTAAGATGAGACGAGAAATACCTCTGGAAAAACCTTCAAAATTTCATATTTATGCAACATACAATGACACGTCTGACAGTAGAAATACTACAATCACCGTCTGGCTCCTTAACTAACGTCGATGGTTTAGGCATAACGACTATGTTTAATTATTTACATATCTGAATGCTACATGTTTCTTGCAAATATTTATGAGATGAGACAATTACAAAATAGTCAGATAAAACAGCTGTACAAAATTCTTACTGAACCTTTCCAAATCTCTCTACATATTAAACAGAAATCAGAAAGCGTTATCTTACTTAGCTTTTTGTTAAATTAGACATAAATGTATGTCTGTTAGTTTTAAAGGCCTTAATTAAAAAGAAGCGACAATTAGGACGACTCATGCTTTAAAAGTACTTTTGTTTCGGACAGTGTAAGAATGCTGTAACACTTCCCTTTCTCACTAAGTTCTCTTGATTATCAGTGGAACAATGATAACTTCCAAGTTAAACAGTTAATTCATGAGAATCAAAAATTTTAGAACGGAAAATGCATTTGTCCACACAAACTTACCTAGCTGGTATGTTATTAAGACCACTAGTTAATGTATAGTGTTGATTTATATTTGGTGACAGTTGACACGCTAGTGAGGATTCTGGTGTCATCACTGATCTCTGCAGCGAATTATTATGATTGTTTCTATGAAGTGTACAATATGGTACATAACTGTTTTGTGGTAAAAGAATATATGTTAGCGGATTGCTATTATTTACATTAGTAGTATTGTTAACACATGAATTTAGATAACTTCCAGGAAAACTTGTAGTGGATTTTGTGTTTTCTAAATTATTTGTCAATCCTGAAGTACTGTTAATACTATTAGAAGCAAGGGAAGCAACAATCGGAACTACAGATGTCACATGAGCATTGGTGGAACAATACGTAGTAAACATAAGTTTATTTGAGGTTAATGATGGATTCACATTTGACTTGTAGGTTTCATTATTGTTTGTACAATTCCCTGATTTCAACAGTTTTGGAGATAGCTGACTCAAATTCACGGAGTTTCCATTGAACTGATGTGAATTCACAAGACAGTTGGAATTCATTTGTTGACTGCATTCTTTTTGTGAATCCATTTTGATTGAAGCAACTTATATGGTCCGACACTTTTCAGTCATATTCAAGATATTTTTATGAATAAGCTGGTAACATTTTGATAGCTAATTAAAATAATGAAGCTGAAAATGTTCATTCATCGTGAAAACTTTTGTTTTCAACCATTTTTGATGCTGTTATCAGTAAAAGCTTTCGGTTAGTGAACTAACTTAAGTATAAAATTAAATTATACGCCACAATGTATCATTTTTTTTTCACTGAACAAATAATAATCAACCAATCAGCATTCAGTATTTAGGGATTATGGATTTATAGGACTGCTAAGAATAACCGAGGAATGAAAGTTAGATATTAAATAGGGATTATAATTTTCACTTTTGTTTTTTTAATTTGTTTCATGGAAATATCTATGAACAAGCATAATTTTGTAGATTTTACTAGTTTTATGAAAATTAAGCACACTTTTCTGTCTATTGTGTACATTATAAGTCTGTTGTCAGTATTAAGAGATTGTTTTACTATAAGGTTGCCACCAATCATCTTGGAGCATTTAGATTAATAATTAATTTCAGTCACACTTTCAGTACCTCTGTGGGACATACTTAATCTACTGTTGTAGAAATCAAAACTCACTGGTAACGAAATGGGGTGGGGGTATCATTCCTTATTACCTGTTGACATTTATCATGTAAATACCTAGCTCGAACTTCATCTGTAATCCTCACAAAACTATTATTGCCTCTAAAAGTGAAATACGGACTTTACATCAACTTCAGAGACTTTTTTGATAACTCACTGAAACTAAGACTAGATTATAGGAACAAATCATTCAAAGGTATCATCGAAAAAACTCTCTAGTCAAAGTTCTTTATCAGAATCTACTTTAGAAATGTGTTAAATGTCGGTTAAGATAACTGATAAAGTACCACATTTCAGTTTTATCTTCAAAGAGTATTATGTTGCAAACATAAACAAATTAAAGGTATCGTCTAAACTGCAGGTTAACATACTGAGGACCTTTGTCTCACTCTTAGCTTAAAATTCAAATCTACATTATCTAGAGTGTTAATGTTGACATATAAATATGTTGAGGACAAATACAGAGCATCACTCAAAATAATACGTCTTATAAACTGGCTATTAACGTCAGTTTACATACATTAATAATAATAATTTGCTTTATATTCCAGAAACAGTACTAGTGGTACAGTGTGGAATTTTCAGCACTTATCTACAATATTGCATCTAACTTTATCAAACATTTAAAAGGAGTATTTCAAAAAATTAAAAATATAAAAAAACAACAAAAAAGAAAAAAACAACACAAAATAGCATAAAAAATGCGAAAAAATACCAAGAAGTAGAATGGAAAATAAACAAAATAATAAATAATATCTCAGTATTAGGTAGTGGAAGCTATGATATGTTTATGCATGGTGAACAGTAACAGTTATAATCATACAAAAAGTAATGAAATGATATTAGGAAGGTTTATCGCATGATCAGTTAATTTGATTGAACAACACTAAACAATCATAAAATAAACATTTCAGGTTTCTTTATTGTCAGATCTAATGCGGTGTTTGTAGTGGTAGTGTGAGTAATCCTGCATAATACAAAATTTTTAAGATGGTCGTAATGGCATTCACAACCAAGACTGTCAGTTAATATTGCCAAACAAAAAAAACAAGCACAAAACTAATATTACATGAAGGTTAATGACAGGACAATTTTGTAATACTCATAGTGCTAATATAGTCGGGACCAGTAGATACACAAAAGAGGGAACAGAGTAAAGTACAAAAAAAGTAAGCTAATGTTAATAATTTAGGTAGCTGAGTATGTTTAAGAAGGTGTTCACTATAGAATACAAATAAGAGAGAAATAAAATATGTTATTAACAACAAAGCAAGTCATAGGTTTCGCGCTTAACATTGTCTCTGTCACTTAGAACAAGGGCCAAATATGGTATCGTTGAGTTCCTATACTTGTGAATAAGATGTTGATATAAACACCAAGTTTGATGATATTAGGTGGTTAAAGACAATCGACAGGAAGCCTTGTACCTAGGTTTGGTGCTAGCTGGCTTTAATCGGCAAGGCATATCTGCAACACTGAAGGAACCCATGTCTTCCCTGATATTCGAGTCCGTGTCACCTAGTACTGCAGTCAGAGATGTTACTAATCAGCTATCCGGACTTGCGATTGACCTCCTACAGGACTGTATTGAGCACTTTGATCGGACACTAGTAACTAGTGTGATGTGTCTAGTCCTTTCTTTGGCACAGACTGAATTCTGGAATGGTGGCCACAATACAAACTTGACTTATAGAATTCAGCCTACACCAAACAAAGGACTAGACACAGCACATTAGTTAGTAGTGTGCACTCAAAACACCACGTTTCTCAAGAAGGAAATAAATGTGTAGAATTCCATTAAAAATTCACGAAACTTTACGTTCATGTATGACTTATTATGCTGACTGAATGGTAGAATAATATAACCATATAACCATTATGAGAAATGATCTAATTCAATTAAAAGTACACCATTCTCGCAAGCCTTCTAACTCTGTCGTCACACTACAAACTATACTGGTATACGAAATACACTCAGCATTAAAAATCACGTACCATAATAGTAGTAACCGCAACCCCAGTGAATAATCTTTTTTTTTACTGTCCTGTACTTGTCATATTAATAGACATACAATAATTATTATAATAACGATATGAAAAGAGAATCTAAATTCTCAGATAAATAAAAGCACCAATTCACCTAATATATAACAAGTGCATAAATAATTCACTAAGAATAGTTTAAATTTTACAAAGACTCAATTAAAAACTGTATTTGACATTCCTGTCTCTTCAGAAGATCATAGATGACTGATTCCGATAATTAAACCGGAAAATTATTCACAAGCTATGACATGTGTACTTGAATTATTTATTTTGGCCAATTAAAATCTACAGAGCTCTTCTAAGCTTCTATCAAAAATCCGATAATAACAATAAGAATAGTATGCTGAAATAGAGGCGAAAACCACACATGTACCAGGACAATTTGAGCAAATCTTTTATTATTTTTATAATTCTTCTCATCTGGCTACAACCTGAACAATACAAAAATATAATATTCAAGTATTGGTTAGTAGGGATTCGGCTGAATGGTTACAAGATTTCATCATAAGCTGACATTGGTTAAAGAACCATTGGAAAGCCTGGGTGTACTGGACAGTTTGGGACTCTTCATCAACACGCTCCCACCGGGGTTATAATTAGAATTCATGGGCCATTGGATCAGACCCCAATGGCTTAATGATCTACGAGATCGCCTTGTAACCCGAACGTCACAGGTTTGGACCCCGGTGGGTGCGTACTGCTGAAGAGTCCCCATCTATGATGGAACAGCTGTCCAGTACTCCCAGGTTTTCCAATGGTTCTCTAACCAATGTCAGCTCATGTTGAAATCCTGTGAACAAAAATATAAACTAAAGATTTGACCTTACTTTTGACGCAATGACAAAGAGTAATTGGTAGGAACTAAGAGTAACATAAATCCAGGATGATGTAAGTTGTTAACTAATAATGAGTTAAAAGGATTGACTATTTATAGGATAATTAGAAGAAAAGGCTTGTAAACAAAAGGACAAAGCCATGAAAGAGAGTTAATATTGATCCTTCTCCTTCTCATTGAATGGCAATAAAGAAACTGGCGACAAACAACCACATATCCAACTATGAGACACCTTGTTATACAATGGTATGTTTGTAAATCTCTTTTGTTATACAACACATTCACAGACTTCAACTAAAGTAGATGACAATTACTCATTTATTATTTAGTCTCAATTATGAAGTTTCTAGCCCAATGAAGATTTGGTGAGATGCATTACAAGCTGCTTTCTTTTCAAACATATATAAATAATTTATGTGATGTTATTTGTATACAATGAGTCTCCATTTGTAGGAGGTGAATTCCATTACTATTATTGCACTGATCGCCTTTGTTGTATATATTCCAATTATTGAAACTGAAATGTATTCATTTAAACCACACAGCTATTTCTTCGTGCAGTCGGTATTCAGCCAACACTATTTCTGATTTACGCATGAAAACAATAATGTAATGATTTTCAGAAATGAGAATTACAACCATTTCCAATTGGACTGCTTTATAAGTGTGCTTATTATCTAAGAAGTATGGAAGCATGGATTTTTATGCGGCGTCTTAATCACAACTATTATTTTATTATTGTCCTGCTAGGTTCCAGGTTGGACAAAGTGGGGTTTGCAGGATGAGCAGTGTCACTCAACAGTCTCCTCGGGGTGTGTCTGAATCCTCTTAATTTCCTTCCACATATTTGTAGGGCAGCAGTTTCTTGGTCGGTTCATTGCCAGAGTTCCGCGTTACTTATCCTTTCTGATCAACAGTCTGTTTCCAGTATGACGCGAAAATGGTTGTTGAGAAAAATGTACAGCAGTCTATCTAAAATACTTGTTGTATTGTGCCTAGTCTGTAAACCACACCGAAGCACTGACTTGACATTAATGTTTACATCATTATACTGAATGCAGCTGATTTTCAGCCTGACTTCAGAATAATGAAAGCCTGCGATGCTTTTCCTATCCTGACTTCAACTTTCTCCCTCATGCTGCCTACCTAGATCAGGTAGGGGAAGTAAACCACTTCCATTGGATTTGTTGCATTTGTGGTGATTGGCACTCGCTGCTGTTGCTTTTGAATATCTTCATCTCCTCTGCCTTCTCTGTGTTCCCCTGAAATTCTGTCTTCGTTGCCTTCTCTGGCAATCTGTTGGATATTGGTCGTAAATTTTCGAGTTTTTGGGACATGAGATATGAATCATCCATGAAATCCATATCTTCCTGAGTCCTTTTGTTGACCCAACGTTTGCCCTTCTTCTCTCCTCCCACGGCCCGTTGATAATTCAGTCCACTATAGTTAGGAACATCATCAGAGATAGTGGACAGTCTTGTCTCCTTCCTGTCTCACTTCAAAGGCTTTGCTGAAACTGCCATTGTGAATCACTTAACCTGTGGCATAATCATATAGCTGCTGAATGAGGTTTATGAAGGTATTGGAAACTGCACTCCGTAGTGTCTAAGCGAATTCCAACTAAATTCATGGTAGACACAATCAAAGGCCTTCTCAAAGTCGTTGAAGTTGAGGTACAGAGTTCACTGGTATTCTATAGTCTATTAAATGCTAATGCGTAGTGGTGTTATTTTGTAGTATATGGTCCCTTTCTTTACACATGAAATAAGAATAATGGAGAGCATTTTATAATAATTCACTGCACAAATTTACCTGCATTCTTCTGATAAACTGATTCAGTAGTAAACCGTGGTTGTTGGGCCTTTTGTATCCAAAACTACATACATGTGTAAATTTCAAAATTTTCAAAGTTACTTGATTAGTACTGATGAATTGCTTTTGAAGGACTGAGATTCTGGTA